GCTCATTGGGAATATCTGGGGAGGTCTGAGAATACCGCCCACTCCAGCCTCCTGGGTCCCCCCCAGACCGCTCCCCAAGCCCAGGCCTCCCGCACGAACAGCTCCTCGGTGACGGGATGAGCCAGGGGCGGCCCAGATGAAACTGCCGAGCCCCGTTTTCTCTCCCCACTTGCCCCACGGGAGCCTTCTCTGCGGCCCCTCTTCCCTCCCGGGGAGGTGGCCCCCAGCTCTGAAACCCTAAGTAATATCGGTGGTAAGAATACAGGGAGGGCGCACCTACCATGGCAGGAGACTCTTACATCACCTTCTTACCGACTCCTGACAACGCGGGGAGGCCGTGATCACCACTCGAGCTGAGGAGACCGGCTCAGAGAGGTTAAGTCACACGCCCAAGACCGCACAGCAGCACGAACCCTCTCTGCCTCTGAGGCCCACTCTCTCCATCAAAGCAGGCCCCTGTCCCAGGGCCAGGCTGAGCCTTGCCCCCAAGCCAGAGAGGACTGGCCGGCCCAGGTGAGCTGCACCTCAGTCACAGGTAGTAGTAGCTGCCGAGCGCCTGGCCCGGCCCTGAGCCGGGTGCGTGGCCCTCATTCTCTCCGCAGCATCCGGAGGGGGACCCGGCAGATCACTAACTGGCATCGAGCCGCCGAGTGGTGAGTGGAAGCTCAAACCCGGGTCGGTGCCCGCCACACCCTGGTCCCACCTGGAGCTGGACGGGGCGGAGCTGCCTCCCTGCTCTTCTTCCTCACAGCGGAGGGCTCTCCAGGCAACCCTGCCAGCCCCAGCCCAGGCCCCCCGCAATGCGGCTCCCTATCCAGGTGCAGTTCTCCCCTGGTGCTCCCCCCCTCTCCTGACACCAGCCCACTCCCTTTGAGCCTCAGTTTTGGCATCTGCCGAATGGGACCGTGAGACCTAGCTCTCGGGGTTCCTGGGAGGGTTAAATGGTTCAGGTCCCTTCCATAGTCCTGCTCTGCAGTCTGGCCCCTGGCCCTGCTGCTCTGGGGCCTACAAAGACCTCTTGCCCCCTCCCCTTCCTCCAAAAGTTGGGGTGGAGTCCCGGTGACTAGAGTCCAGATGACCCCCGCCCACCTGAGGCCCCTCTGGTCACTTGGCTCTTAGCTCCCAAACAAGGTGGCCTGGGGGGAGGGGCCAGTGGGCGTCACCATGGACGCAAGCAGTGCCGTGTGCTTTCTCCCAGCCTTTCAGAACCAGAGCCTGGAGCCCTAATTAACCAGCTGGGACAGCTTCAGGAGCTGTTTCCATGGCAACCAAGCAGGCCACCCCCACCACGCCCCCAGGGAGGTGCTGCCGGAGCCCCTGCTCAAGCAGAAGCATCAGAAAGCATCTGGACTCTGGCGGAATAGCTCAGCTGGTTAGAGCATCGTCCTGATACCCCAAGACTGTGGGTTCAATCCCTGGTCAGGGCACAGATAAGAATCAACCGCGCAGCCGGCGTAGCTCAGTGGCTGAGCATCGACCTATGAACCAGGAGGTCACGGTTCGATTCTCGGGTCAGGGCACGCGTCCAGGTTTCGGGCTCGATCCCCAGTGTGGGGTGTGCAGGAGGCAGCTGATCAATGTTTCCATCTCTCTCTCCCTCTCCCTTCCTCTCTGAAATCAATAAAAAGAAAATATTTTTAAAAAGAATCAACCAATGAATGGATACATGAGTGGAACCACAAATCGATGTTTCTCTCTCTCTTCCTCTCGCAAATCAACCAATCCATAAATTGTTAAAAGCAGCACGTGGGCAGTGCCAGGGCGGAGAGACTCAGGTGGGGGTGTGGTCCAGCCTCCTCTCCGACTCTACCTTTGGCCAAACCAAAGGTGTGGGTGCCCAGGCCTTCTCCTGACCCCCAGCTTCAGACAGCCTGGGCCGGGGGCTCAGACAGCAGTTACTTCTGCCCTGCGCACCTTCATCTTCACGGCTGACGCTAATAACCTGCCTGTGGCCTGGGGCTGGGCAAGTAGGCCTGCCGGCCACCCAGAGGGTCCGCTGGGCCCGCGAGAGGGCAGAGGCCTGCACTGCCTTCCTCTGCCTGGCTTGCGCCCCTCCCTGGGAAAGGGCCGTCCCTTCTGGGAACCCGGCTACCGGGAAGCTGGAGCCAATTAAGAGCCTGTGCAGGGAGCAGGCCGGCTGTGGCAAAGCCTGTCCAGAGGGAGGCCTGTCCATCCGCGGGAGTCGGGAGGACAGGAGGGCAGTGGAGAGCCAGGCTCGAAAGGGCCTGGAGGGCGGGGCAGAGGGGGAGGTGAGGAGGCCCGAGGGAGACCAGATCTAGAGCAGGGAGATCGGACGCTCTAGTCTGCACCCCAGAGAAATGTGGACGCGTAGGCCCACCGCAGGCCGGCTGTCTGGGATCCTGCGTCTTTGTTGTTAATCCTCACCCAGGGGTATTTTTTCCATTCATTTTTTAGAGAGCATGGAAGGCAGGGAGGGAGGTGGGGGGGAGAGAGAAACATCAATGTGAGGGAGACACATCAATTGGTTGCCTCCTGCATGTGCCCCGATTGGGGCTGGGGATCGAACCTGCACCCCAGGTATGTGCCCTTGACCGGAATTGAACCCACGACCCTTTCGGTGAGCAGGTCAATGCTCTATCCACTGAGCCACACAGGCCAGCGCGGCTGGGAAATCTGCATTTTAACAAGATCCCCGGGCTGGGCTACAAAAGGGCAGTGGGGATGGATGGTTAGAACCAGCCGGAACCCCAAATGGCAAAGGTGGGGCCTGGGGGCTCTGGGGCCCTCAGGGAGGGCGGGGGCTTTGGTGCCAAGGCTGTGGGCAGGGAACTCTGAGCTGCCTGCTGTCAGCACTGGCCAGGGCCTGGGAGCCCACCCAGCCCCTTCCTTCTCGCTATGGGGGAGGTGGAGGGGGGCCTCATCCAAGGAGGGGAAGTGACTTGTCCCAGGTCATGTCCAGTAGGAACCTCGCTGGCCCTGGGTCCCCCCCTCCCCGAGCCTTCCTGGCGCTTCTGAGCTGCCACAGCTCCCACTGGCTCCTGCCTTTGGAAAGCAGAGGGGCAAATAGCTGTGACCCACGGATGCTGCCACCAGGGGGCGCCAGGTGAAGCCACAGCCTCTGCCTTGGTGAAAGAAAGCAGCACCCCAGAACCACAGGCTGGGACCCCGGTGGGGGGTGCAGACAGGACAGCCAGCACAGCTGTCCCCTCCTAGGGATCAGGACCGGGCCGTGCCTGCGCTCCGGCTCTCTGGACCTCAGCGGGCCCCGCAGCAGTGGGGCTGGGAGGGTCCCGGGATGGGGATCTGAGACCTGCTCCACTGGGAGGGAGCTCTGCTCCCTGGGCTCCGCTCAGAGGAAGGGCACCTTCTGCCCCCGTCCTCTGTCCACTCGCCTTCCCTCGAGGGCCCTGACAACCTCCCACACGAGTAGCTTTCCTTAGGCCCCTGTTCAGTCCAGAGAGAGACGGGGGGACACGATGGGCCTTCATATTCTCGCTTGACAGATGGGGAAACTGAGGCACGAGAGGCTGCTGTGATGAAAGAGCTGGTCACCACGCTGGGTCCCCTGCCTGCGTGGACAGCTCCCACGCGGCCACCCACCTCCACACGCGCCCCTCCCCTGCCCGGCCGCGCAGCCTCTCACCATGAGCATCTCGCTGGTGAGGGAGTTGACGAGGTCCGAGACGGAGGAGCGCGGCTCGGTCCGGCGGTCAGACTCATCGTGCGGCGTCTGGCTGGGCACTGGAGTTGTGTTTACTGCCTTCCCTCCTGCAGGCAACCTGGGGGCCGGGGGGGGGGGGGGGTCCCAAAGAACGAGCCTGGGGGGGGGGGGCGGGCGGGGCTGGGCTCCGTGGGCGGCAGGCCCCGCTCTCAGCCCCCGGCAGCGGCCGCCTGCAGGCCAGCAGGAACTGTGTTCTTGTCCACGGGAGGCCTGCTCCCGCCCCGCCCCACCCGCCCCGGTGTGAGGGGCCTGGACTGTACCTGTTCCCCAGAAAGCCCTCACCCTCCATCCCTGCCTGCATGTGGCCTCTGAGCCTGCCTCCCTCCCCAGGGCCGCCTCCCTGCTGCCCCAGCCTGGGCGGGAGCCTGGGTGGGAGCCTGGGGGCGGAGGCTCGGGTGGTGAACGCTCCGTCGCTCTCTCCGCATCATTACCCTCTGCAAACACCCAGGGTGCCTCTCCCCCGGACGCCCCACCTGTGTTTGCCCAGGCTCAGCGAGAACACAGGTGCCCTCTGGACGCCAGACCGACCGGGTGAGGTCAGGCCCCTGTCCTCGCAGCTCTGCCCAGCAGAACTGTCTATGCCGACACATGTTCCGTGTCCGCACTGTCCCTGTGGCCGCTGAGCGTGTGAGAAATGGCCAGTGCGGCTGAGAATTGGAAACCCGTGGGACTGAAACTCGCTGAGATGTAAAGAGCCGCCTAGTGGACAGGGCAAGTGCCCCTTCGGGAAGGCTCCCCCAGCGTCAGAGGAAGTCGGGGTACCCCCAAGAAGCCCCGGATCCGAGCGTCCCACGAGAGGCCCTGTCTGCACCCTGCCTCCGTGCTGTTTCCAGGGAGCCAGGCTCTCCCGCCGGCAGCTGGCGGGGAGGCCAGTGGGGGCTCTGGACGGGGGGCTACCGGCCCCCAGCGACCAGCTGGAGCCTCCCACGAGGAGGAGGGGGGCAGCAGCATGGAGATGGGGAGACGGCAGCGGGGGGCTCGGGACAGGCTACGGTAGAACAGCTGTGAGACCAGAGCCAGACGTGGAGACATCAGCCACGGCCCTGGGTGTGGCCCGGCCACCAGCACACAGGTGGCCACGACAGGCACAGAGGCATGCACGGAGTATGCAGGTCCTGGAGGGGCACCGGGGCCCAGGAGCAGGGTGTGCACGTACACGTACGTACACACACACACACACACACACACACACACACACACACAAGCCCAGAAGACACCCAGGGACCAGGGAGGGAATGGCACAGGCGACAGGCAGGCCAACCAGAGCAGCGCGATGACACACACACAGGGAGGCGCACACCGTGACCCCGAGAGGAAACACATTTGGGGAGACCCAGTGGTGGGGGGCAGGGCCGGCGAGTGGGACGCACTGCAGCGGAGGAGGCAGGGAGCAGTCGGATGCACAAGGCACCTGCCGTGGAGGCGTGGCCTCGCCTGGACCACGCGTAACACCCCACCCAACCCGGGGACACGAGGGCGCCCCTCCCAGAGGCGCGGCCACAGCAGCGCTCACGTGCGCGCGCGCGCGCACACACACACATGCGTGGATGCACACATGGACACACGGGTGGACACGTGCTCACGCAGGCAGGCACGGGAGGAAGAGGAGGCTGAAACGGCTGGAGAGGTAAAGTCAGTTAGAAATAGAGGGAGAGGGGGAGCGCGGAGACTGACGGCTGGAGGTATGAGAGTCGGTTACTGGGCCGCCTGGGAAGAGATGGTCAGCGCCACTGAAGCTGTCGGAGGTGACGGGACAGAGAAAGCGCGCAGAGAGGCGGGGGAGGCGGAGGGGCCCTCGCGGCCCCGGGACAGCCCTGTGAGGAGCAGATGGGAGGAAGGAGGCAGGAGAGAGAGGCCAAGAAAGGTTAGTTGGAGACGCGTGAAGGCTGCAGGGTGCACGGGGGACGAGGAGGAGCGAGGCGGCCGAGTGGAGAGGCAGAGAGGAGGCGGGGGGACACACCGTGACAGGAGAGACATGTGGCTTTGGGCAAGGACAGCGATGGGGTGGTCAGGCCCGGGCCCCACGCGGGCGGGGGTGGGGCCATGGTGGAAACCATTTGGATCCCAAGAAGCGGTGGTGAAGGGATGGCTGAGCGCATGAGGCGGGGTGGGTGCAGGGCCGATGGGTGAAGGCGGAATGCAGGGTGTGGGAGCCAGGGCCTCCCCCCTCCCTCCCGGGCCCAAGAGCATTCAGAGGTTCTTGGGGGCCATGGCCTGGAGGCCCAGGGGCCGGAAGAGCCTGGGTGGGGGCTTCCCAGGCCCCAAGAATCCTGGAAGCAGGGGCGGGGACCAACCCTCCCGTCTTCGAGTTCTTTGCTAGGTGCACCCCCGTCTCTCTTGCTGTTCCCCCTTTCTGCCCGGAGCCGGTGCTCACAGACCCTGGGCTGAACGTCCTCCCCAAAAGCAGCCAAGGACCTCCCACCCCTCGCCCCGAGACTGGGTGGGAAAGGGGGGGCTGGGCCTGGAGGCGGGAGCTGAACAGGAAGGGACTGTTGACCGAAGCCTTCCGTTTGGAGGCCCAAGGAGCAGGAACCCAGAGGGTGGAGCCCTAAGGGGCCTAGCGCCCTGCGGGTGAAGCAATGCCAAGCTGGGGTGGGGAGTGCTGGGAAGGAAGTGCTGGATTCGGGACACCCTGCCAACCCCCGCCCCCCAGGCCATGAGCAATGAGTATCCCGGATGGGGTGGTTGGGGTGGCCCGGGCGGGACTGGCATGGGTCCACCGGGAAAGTCGGGCCGGGTCTCGGTGAGGACCTGGCCCCCACCTCCACCCCCACCTTTCCCAGGAAGGCAGGGGAGGGCTGATGTCATGATCAGAAGGGACAGGGTGTGAAGAGATGGAGTGAGACCTGAGTGGCAAGGGGTAAAAATAGGCCGGGGGTGGAAATGGAGCCGGGAATTGACACGGGGGATGCGAAATCTCGTTTCCAGCCTGCATTGCTTTCTCACGTGGCACACCTTGCCGGGCCAGGCGCTCAGCAGGCTTCCGGGGGGCCCAGCCCCTCTCCCGCAGCCTCTTGCCCTCAGCATGGCCCTCCCCCCGGCCCAGCCTGGGAAGCCGGGACCCCTGGCGCTGGGCGAGTTGGAGGCGGCAGGATTTGATGCTCCCGCCCCCAGGGCTTGGGCTCGGGGTGTGACACCACCTGCGTCCCCGAGTGAAAGAACGGGTCCCGCTCTCCCCTCCCCTCTGTGGGGATGTCGCTTTGCCCACCACAGACATGCACTGTGGGCTCGGACGGGAAGACACGAGAGGGACAGGCTACGGTAGAACCGCTGTGAGACCAGAGCCAGACGTGGAGACATAAGCCACGGCCCTGGGTGTGGCCCGGCCACCAGCACACAGGGCTGGTCCCCAGAAGCCACCGGAGGGGCAGCGAGCCAGCTGTCTAACTCGGCCTGCCCTCCCCTCACCCCCGAGCAGCGTGGGACCGTCCCTTCCGTACCGGAGGGCCTCAGGGAGCAAGCAGGGGGTCCCTGCCCGCTGACAGGGCCTGCCCACTGCCCCAGCCGAGGGCCGGCTCCCTCGTTAGAAGCTCAGCATGTCCGAGCTGGAAGGGGCCACCCTGTCCAGTCCTTCATTTGACGGACAAGGACATGGGCCCAGGGCCGGAGACACGCCCCGGGCTGGACAGAGCCAGGGCGGGCGCCCCACGCTCGCCTGCAGTGCAGGGCTTTAGCCTGACCAGCGGGCCTGACCAAAGGAATGCGCCTCTCCCAGGAACACAGGTGTGTGGCCTGCCCAGCTCAAGGCCAGGTGACAGGAGGCGGCCACCAGGGGCAGGACTGCCCTGCCCTGTGATGCTGCCGGAGCCCTGGACCTCTCTCTACCCGCCGCTTCTCGCCCAGAGCACCCCACTGAGGTGCTTCCCTGGGAGCTGGTGACGGTTAAATGCCCAGCCCTCGGCTCAGCCTGTGTTGTGGCCACAGGGCCTGTCCCTGTCCCCACAGGGTCCTGGGGGCCAGTAGCTGCTCCCCCCCCCCCCATTCCCTCCTCTTGGTACCGCAGGCTCAAGGGCTGCCTTTCTGGCTCTTTCTGGTCACCAGGCCTCGCCCCTGCCCCTGCCTCTCCCCACCAGGGACTCCCATCAGCAGAGTAGCCGGCCACCTCTGCAGCAGGGGGTTGGGGGGACCATCACCCCAGGAAAAAAGGAGGTTGAGGTGGCGGGGATGAGGGAGAATGGGCCGGCGCCCCTTCCCTAACATCCCCCCCGCCCACCAACCACCGGGGAAACGGGATTTCTGGGCCAGGGCAGATGGAAGATGAGGGGCAGCGGGGAGCAAGCAGGAGGATGGGCAGAAAGGCTGGCTTGCTCCGGGCGAGGGCGGGCATGCCCGGGGAGCAGGCTTGATCCAGAATGGTCCCAGGACGGCCGGCCGCACTGGCCTCAGACCCAGGGACACCCCCGGGGTGGCCGCGTGTGAGGGCGCCGGCTGGGGAGGCAGGCCTCTGGCTCCAGCATCCGCTGAAGGCGCCGCCGCCAGGTCCAGCGGCCAGGCAGCCGAGGCAGGCAGCCCTCCGCCTCCGCCTCCGCCTCCGCCTCCGCCTCCTCCTCTGCACGCCGCCGCCGCCCGAGCTCGTACCTCTTGTCCCCCTGAGC